TTTTTCTCATTGTCAGTGCACATAGTTGTCAAAATCAAACAAAGGTGCAATCAATTCATTCTTTTACCCTGACAACCTTATTCCACATGTTAATGGGCGCTTGCGATGATGTACAGGGATACTCATGATGTGAAATTGCTTGCAAGCTGTCCAATGCTCCTTTTTGATCAACTCCAGTGTGATCAGTTTCTGACTTAATGACTGGCCTGTGCTGTTGTTCTTCATGCTGTTGTTTTGAAACACTTGGTTTTGAGTAACTGCAAGTGTATTCGGCAATTGAACAAGTTCATTTTTAACTCATGATTTGCCTGAATGATGAGTTGTTAGTTCACATTGATGCTCTATGCATCGATTTGGCGGATTACAAAACGCTGCGCCAGGGGCACAAGAAACTCCCCCCCCCCGCCCCCCCACTTGTGAGGTTAATTCTTGTCTTGCATCACCCTGGGCTAATGTAATATTTTCATGAAGTGAGAGAACCATTACCTCGTGGCACCGCACGTTCCTGCATTTACGCATCGCACCAGGAAGAGTAAATTCATGTTATGCCTATAGTCTAGGTGGTGAAGAACATTGCACAATCTGGTTGTGGGGGGGGGGGGGGGATAAAGTGGTTAGGGTGCTCGGCTGTGGATCTGACGGTCTTTGGCTTGAGTCCTTGTCACGCTACCACCTTAGACCACGTGGCATACCTATTAAAGACACCCTGTCTCCTGTCCTGACACTCAATGAGACGCAGAGCTCCAATCTTTATTGGCATGGTTCCATCGGCCACAGGCCACAGACAGTGGCACAGTTCGGTGCTAGTTAGTTTGACTGTAGCAAACAGCAGTGGGACTCTCAGAATGTTCGTTGGCGGACCATTTCGGCATAAGTTTTAAGCCAGATGCGATCAGACATGAAACTATATCATAGGCTGTAGCGAAGGCTATGATTTTTTTGCTGTCGTGCTACCTACATTAGAGATGCGTGCAGGTAATATTGATACATGAAAAGGCAAAGCGAGTGTGGAAAGACGCGTTTCATAAGTAAGTAGCTTCGAACATTGCGAAGAATAACCGAGATGCTTTAACATTCGGGCTGTACTCCAAAACCGCGCTTACTATTCGTGTGCTGATGAACGGTTAACGTGATGAATTGTTTGGTGCTGTTGGGCAAACAATGCTGACCACTTGTACAAAATGACTTCAGTCGCACAAAACATGAAAGCGGATGATTGCTGCCCACGGTAAAACTAACCACACATGGACATGAGATATAGAAATAATTATCAACGATTCACTTAACCTCGCGTACCAGGAATGGTTAGGCTATCTCAAAGCAACCAAAGTGCTCCGTATTTCGGCCGGCTGGCCCGCATTTCGCATAAGTGACAATTATTTGCGGCCAGTCATGCTGAGACATCTTACAAATCTCTTTTACAAACTTGTCCAATGTTCGCGGCAAAGTAAGTTGCCAAATGGCTTAAGGTATTAAGGATAATTAGCGCGTGTTATTTTTGTGTTCTAGGAAGGTTCTTTTTGTTTGCAACCTGCCCTTTTACTCAGATCAGTCAACATGTGCTTCTTAGTGGAACGGGATATCTCACGAGCTATCTCCTGGTAGTAACAGTAGAAGTTAATGTGTGACATCTTTATCCATGAAAGGTGCAGATACGTGAAAGGTGTCGATAACAGACACACCGCACGGTGGATAAATAATCATAGAGGGAATGAACCGAGGCTTAAGACCAGGCAGAGCGCCCTCAGTTTAAAAAGTGGGCTACAACGGCATTTTTGCTGTATCGACCAGTCGAACGTCACGCAACCATGTCACGTGACATGCGACGAGCGTGAGGTAAATGGCTACGGACCATGCGAGTAGCGGCACAAGTTGCCGTTGCCGGAAGTCTGCATGCCCTAAAGCACCCATAAACAACAAGATGGTGCTTGATACCACGTGCCTCAAAGCTCATTCAGATAGGCATGTGCCAAACTAATGCTTGCTGTTTCATGTTTTCTGTGAAACCATCAAACCCGATTTGTGTACCAGCTCAGAAAGAAAGGATTTGAATAGATGAGGCGTAAATATTTGTTGTTTTCTCTCGGGTAAGTTACGATCTTTTCTCTCAACGGGCTATTCCAGCTTTATTTAGAGGCATTGGCGACTGACTTTTTCGTTTTTTTTCGGCGGTATCTATGTTCTGGTGACACTTTTGGACACCCATCTGGAGTTTGACCTTGTTTGACCTTATTTGTCCCTGAGGTCATGACCTATGAATATCCAATTTGGACGCCAATGAGTTCACATACAGGCCAACACACCCTATGAATTTGTTGTCTAGCTTTCTTTGGTTTCTGAGATCTCAGGGGAGTCAGATTGACCCCCGCCGGAGCCAAGGGTATTCAACTCGCTACTCTAGTGCGTGTTAAGTTATTTGAATGCAAGTATTATTTCCGTAATAACGAGGAAGCAAAGAAACCACGTACAACGTCTTACATTACATAGCACATAACGTGATTCATGACTTAAGCTGGCAGAGCCCGCTCAACATTGTCGGCAGCCAATTGACTTCCACTCTGTTTGGATATCGTGCTCCGGGACGCCAGATTTGAACGGCCCGACGATCACATTCGTCTTGGCCTAGAACGCCGCATGGACAAAGTGAGTGACAGGGTCTGAATGACGTCGCTATGGCGTCATGCTTGCCGTAGATGGCCTTGGAACAGTCTGCACGTCTGCGCATCTTCGCGTTCCGGGCGTGTAGCTCAGAAAGAAGAGGGTTGCTTGCCGTAGATGGCCTTGGAACAGTGCACGTCTGCGCATCTTCGCGTTCCGGGCGTGTAGCTCAGAAAGAAGAGGGTTAACCCTCGCCATGATTCGCCGTTTTCATAACTTGGACTAATGGGGGCTGGGGTTGATGCAACCCCCCGGCGTTTCCAAACTCATGAAGATAGCGCTCAGAGGAAATCACTTGGTCATTGGTCTCAACGAGATGTTGCCAATGGTACTAGGTTTTATGTTGTGTGGTCAATAGTTATGCCCGTTGTGCTAGGGCAAAGGTCACATTTTCTTGAAAATCGCACCTTTTCACCTTAAAACATAATACCTACGAGCCTCTGCCTCGTGACGACAAAAATCTAGACAGACGTGTTTAATATTCAGTTCTGAGTACAGTGGTTTATCTTTGTACGTGTTGACATCTGACGTTTACCTTGAACGTACAGTTATGCTATATGGCTCCGTTAATGTAACAATATCGGCCCGTCGTGTGCGTTCCGCGGCATGGCCGGTCGCCCCCCGCCGCCCGCGCCGGTCGTAGATCGCCGTGCAGTGTTCCTCAAAAGCCGCCGCCGCTCTGAATTCAGAAACGCTATGAACACATTTTTGTTGTCAAAACACGTACAGTAGATGCCCTATAGTCTACTGAAAATTAGGGTTTTGCACAGTATTCTTGAGAGGTATCCTCACAAACCCTTTGAGGGGCAGGGGTATCGCATCGCCCCCCCCCCCCCCCCGCTGTCAGAGCAAGGGTTCATAACGGATGGCTTTGTATTGCACCGAATAATCTTCAAGGCTGGTATTCCAGTAAGAAAACGCATACAAATGGGAAGCACTTTCTGAAAGAAAATCCTGGCTGCACCTCTGTTGAAGTCCATGCATTTAGACAAAGCCGTCTAAGCGTTCAGGCGTGCGCTGACATCCCAAATACTTTTTCCACGCTTTTGCTCGGTGCATGTCGTCGAAACTTTTCCGTTTGCCGGCTGTGTTTGGGGCGGTCTTGAACACATTGCTGCGTATTGGGCGACGTGACGTGAGACAAGCTCCGGAATGTCTGGAATGCTCGCGATATTAGTGGAATGTTCTTGAAGTATGACGTTCGTGGTAAGTAATTGTCCGACTTATTAACCCGCTTACGTGAAAACCAGCCACCTTTCAGTCCAGTGTTCTTCTGCTGCCTATGTACATTGTGGGGAGGACTCAGGCGAGCATCGGAGACGCTTGAGTCAGCATCGGGAGGCTTGCCCCCTCCCCTGTACATTGTGGGGAGGGCTCAGACGAGCATCGGAGACGCTTGAGTCAGCATCGGGAGGCTTGCCCCCTCCCCTGTACATTGTGGGGAGGACTCAGGCGAGCATCGGAGACGCTTGAGTCAGCATCGGGAGGCTTGCCCCCTCCCCTCCCCTGAACGTAGCTAGGGTGACGCTCCTGGCCGTCAGCATATGCGTAACCCGGAATAGACATTGCGGAAATCACAAATTTTCGCAACCGACCGAACGGGGCTCCGCGAACCCCAGTGCTAGGAGAGTGTCTCCTCTGTGGGTGCATGCCGGCTCCGGCGGAAGGCCGCCGCGGCCAAGTCCGCCCAGAACGACCGCACTTCGGAGCCTTAAAATGTCCCGCACGCGGGGAGCTAGTGCAGTGGATGCTGCATTCTAGCCATTCGAAGCAATGCTGGAGAGTTCCGGGACTAATTCTGGCTTCCGCTTCCGTGCAAAAGAGTGATACAACATTCAATCTATAAGAGTTAGCGTCGACCCGGGGCGTCGCGGAAGTCTCGTCCAACAGGGCATCACAACTGTTCTGAGACCCTAACTCAGTTTAGAACAGTTCCAGCCCGGCCTCTGTTGTCTACCGTATCGTGAGGCGAAAGGTTGCTACGAAATTCCCCGACTGCTTCCTCACGATGAGCACCAATATTTGAACTTGACATGAAACTTGGTATTCAACCGTTGTGATGATAATTTGAGACGCTTGTTTTAGGTTTGTTGTTTGCATGCTAGAACTGCCGCACTTATTTGTATGGCGTGTACAAGCCGCTGTCTGCTGTGTCACGACTCTTGACGTGCGGTCCTTGGAGGGACTGTTACTCTACGGGGTGTCCCGACATTGATGCGCGGCTGGTGGTGCCTATCATTTCCCCCCTCCCCAACGCTGAGCGAGTGAAACTGTACCGCGCTAGCGGGCGCGAGAAGTCATTCCTTTCGAGATAGCCAACGCGTCTAGTCCGCATATCGCCAATGGTGAAGGAGCACAAGCTATCGATCCGCTACCGCGCGGTTGGGATGGTCAAGGTCAAGGTCAAGGGCGGCATGACCCAGCTTCAGGTGACCAGGGGCTTGGGCGTCAACGAAGCGACGGTTAGGTGCTGGCTGGCTCGCGACCGCTCAGGAGATACGCTCGAAAATCGGACAAGTCGCGGGCAGAAGTCGGCCTTGAGCCGAGTGGCGAAGATGGTCATTGCAAAGTCGGTCTTCAAAAGGCACCACTCGACGAGAACCCTGGCGAGAAAACTGGCGGCGGAGGAGCATACCATTTACAAGTCGGCCGTCCACCGGTATCTGAACACCAGCCTGCAACTGAAGTCGTTCAAGCTCAGGATGCAGCCAAGGCTTACTGTGGGCCAGAAGCGCAGGCGTCTGGAATTCACCAAGGACCGCAAGAACTGGTCTATGCAGGACTGGAAACGCGTTCTGTTCAGTGACGAGTCGCCCTCCGAGCTTTTCCAAGCTCCTAACCGCCAGAATGACCGGATCTGGGCCAACAACAGCTCGGAGGTGGTGATCGCCGAGGCAGTGAAGCAGCTTCGAAACATTCTTGTCAGGGGCATGATGAGCTAGAGAGGCCCCTCTGAGCTGCACCTAGTCCCGTGCGGGCAGGCCGTCACTGCCGAATACTACGTCAGAGAGGTGCTGGAGAAGACTGCAGCCTCGGCGATGCAGCGGAGGAAAGAGAATGACCCGCCAAGTAAGATCAGGCTCCTGCCAGATATGTCGAGGGCGATTTTCCAGCAAACGGTGCTCCAGCTCATCACGCCAGGAAGATCCCGGTCTGGTGCCGGGCCAACTTCCCGGGCTTCTGGGAGAAGGGTCCGTGACCAGACTGCAACCCCGACATGTCACCGATCGATCTCTTTCTTGAGCGATCTCCGTCTGTCTCTGTCTCAGTCTCTGTCTCTGTCTCTGTCTCTGTCTCTGTCTCTGTCTCTGTCTATGACTGTCCGTCCGTCCGTCCGTCCGTCCGTCCGTCCGTCCGTCCGTCCGTCCGTCCGTCCTGCCCTTCTGTCTGCCCTTCTGTCTGTCTATCTCCCTCTCCCTCTCGCTCTCCCTCAGTCTGTCTCACCCTCGCCCTTGCTCTCGCTCTCTCTCTCCCTCACCCCTCCCTTCCCCTCCCCCCCCCCCCCCCCCTCCCCTCCCCTGCCCTCCCCTCCCCTCCCTCTCCCTCTTTCTCCTCTCTCTCCCTCTCTCCGTCTTCCTCTTTTTCTTTCTCTCCCTTCCTCTCCCTCTCGCTCTCCCTTCCTCTCCCTCTCGCTCTCTCCCTCTCCCCCTCTGCTCTTTCCCCCTCTTTCTCGGCTGACCGATGTCTGACTCCGGGCAATGGCCATAGCATTCTGACGCCGGTGTAATTAGGGGATTGGGCTGCCCGTCTCCAGAACCGGTCGGCGGAGATAGCGATCGTCGCCTGGGACTGGGGCGGCGCTCGGCGGCGCTCCCGGTCAGCCAGCCCGCTACGGCGCCGGCCTTTGAAGACCCGGTGTCCGATCCCCGCCCGTGGTGACTGTGGGCCAGGACGGTGGATCGCCCACAACCGTCCGATCCCCGCCCGTGGTGACTGTGGGCCAGGACGGTGGATCGCCCACAACCGTCTGATCCCTGCCCGTGGTGACTGTGGGCCAGGACGGTGGATCGCCGACAACCGTCCGATCCCGCCCCGTGGTGACTGTGGGCCAGGACGGTGGATCGCTCACAGCCAACTTTTGTTTTCAGGGAATCGCTGTGGTCGGTGTTCAGCAGTGGGCGAAATGCGGCTAGATAGAGCTCGCCGATAATGACTTGGTGTTAGTTTCCGTCGGACAGCTCAGACACTAAGAATAGGGCATTGTTTCAGTACATGTACATTCCACCCAGTTGCTTCATGTCGCACTGAACGTTACCTTATTGGATGCAATGGTGTGATGGATGATATAAAGTGTGGGGCGTGACGCTCTCGTTCCCGTTATTCTTACACGTCCGCCACGCTTCAGCATGTTTGTAGTACGCGTACGGCAGCCGTGGTGCGATCACAGCCTGCAGGACTCAAATCGAACGCTTCATCAATGTCGGCAAAGGAGGCATCGTGTGGTCACCTCAATCTTCTAACACACTTCGGAATTATGTTTTCAATTACGTGACGTAGTTGTGTGGTCATCGCTGATGATGCCACGCTTAAAATGATAAATCTAGAATAAATTAACCCTTAAGATAATTGGCTTTAGACTTAGGTGATGAGTGGTTTGTAGGACTGCACGCTCCTTTTGGTCCGCCCAAATAATCCCATATTTTAGCACTTGTCTTATGTCAATGCATGGCATTAATGGCCTCAAAAACCCATGATTACTGTAGAACCCTCGATCATTTTTGGAAAGCGACAAGCCTAGTTGTAAGACGGAGCGTGAACGTATTCGTGTATATCTTACTGTCATACAATCTGATCACCGGAGTTTAACAACCCGCAAAAATGTTGTTTGTAAGAGCTCGGCACGCCGGACCATTCCTTAACTTATGGAGTAGTCATTTATTTTAGTTACAGCAGTTATTCTGTTATTTAGGACAGCGGTTTTTCGGACACCAATGCACATGTTTGTGCCATTGTCGGTCCTTGGGTTCCGATTGCCCGCAATTTTGTAATATACGTCCCATCTGTAACATTGTATGGAGAAGCGCCTCTCGGGGGTTGAGCGCTGCCCTGTCATTGCCGGTTCACGGTGGGGCTAACTCGGCCAAGTAGCGGGCAAATCTGGTATTCGTGCCGTGAGTCACGTCCCGACAGCGGAGTTTCTCTCGCGGCGTACCTCGGCTGCGCGGGGCGCCTTCCCATGGCTTGCCGGCCGCCATCTCGTGCAGATGGCCCGCGGGTGGGCGCGGCGAGTTGCGGTCGGCTGCAAAGATGCTGGCCGGAGGCTGCGCTGCCGGCGCGGCGGCCGCCAAGCCGCACACCTCACCGGTTCACACGATCGTCCGCCGGCTCGCCCCCCGCAGGTCGGAGCCATTAGCCTGCGGCGGCTGGCCGCCAAGGTCAGGGGTGGCGGCGCGTCAGGTGTGATGCCACAGACCCCGACCCTCCGCCCCCCCCCCGCCCCCCCCCCCCCGCCACCGCCGTCCCCCTGGCGCACAGGCGTCGCC